TGAAATTGAAGTTGGGATTGAAGAATATGCGCTCAAAGTAATTATATGATGTGTTAAAGTGCTTAGGAGGGTTAGCCATTATTCCTAAAATATATCCTACCCATCCCTTAGCCCACATTACAACCATGAAAAAGTCTTAATTGATTTTAGATCGAGCGAGCTTATATTAGTAAAGATTTACATTAAGGGCAAGCCTATGGTACCAATTGCATGCATGTGACTTCTTTGTGAGAGTGAGAGATTTCTTTTATATACAAGTGAGTCCTCAAACCATATTGAGTTCGGATGTGTGGATTCAACTTACTCTCTTTCCTTTTGTTGTGAGGTCACATGGTTTTACGAGGGATAGGTAACATTATTAGCTTTCTCTACGATGTTGGGTGTTCAAGCCACGAGTATATTGTGATGAGTCGGTTTGTGAGGCCATGATTGTTATGCGCATGTTGTCTTTGTTTGATTGTTTTTGAAGTATGGCATAAGTTAAAGGGAAGTGTGTGGTGATTGCATATGCTAGAGTTTAATTGTTAATATCAACCATGGTCATCGGTGTAGAGTGCTCAAAGATAGAGTTATTTATTGGTTGACTCGAGGACGAGCAACGTGTAAGTGTGGGGTGTTGATATTCGGCTTAAAGTATGCATATTTTGAAGTATATTGCCTCACATTGTGCTCATGTCTCGTAGATTTCGGATGTATAATATAATGATTTGTGCTAATTTGTGGTATTTCTATGTGTAGGAATAATTCGGATGTGATTTGGGACGAAAGCACGCGAAATGGAGCAAAAACGGGAAGAAAAGGCAAAAGTGCACATTTGAGGGCCACAGGCAGCATGGGGCGCTACCTGTGGCGCTCAAAATAGAATGCTAAAAAGTTGAGCGCCAGGGCCAGCGCTCCACGCTGCCCTGGATGCTGAAAACGTGAACATGTCCTATTTCGATCGGGACTCGATTATTCGACCCTAAGATGCCCCAACTCATATAAAAGCCAACCTAAACCTATTTTGAGGAGGAGAGACGTTTTTTAGAGGAAAACACAAGCACATAGCCGCCATAGAGGCCGGGTTTCATATTTTCTTCCCCCAAACTTAGTAATTTTTATGTTTCTTTGTATGATTTGTTGTTTGGCTACCATGTCTATGTGGAGCTAAACTCCACGTTCTAGGGTTGTGGTTATTGCATGACTATTGTTATTCGAATATTGAGTTTGATATAGTGATATATCAATTAGTTTATTTATTCAATCCTGCACTTAATTATTAGATTTCTTGATCACCAATTGAATACTATCTACGAATCTAGAATTGAACTCGAAAGTGGAAATTCTAGATTGCATGTAGGATTGAGTAGAGCAAGTTCTTGAACCTAGGCATCGGGGAATGGGTTCGCGGTTAGGATAGACATATACCTAATTGCCTTGCCTGGTTTATTTACAGGAATTATAAAAGTGCTCTTGTTGATTCTAACTCCATAGATATATAGGGGTTAGGTTAGCTTGAATAGGCGCGTAAGAACTCGACAGATTCTTATGAGCAATATTAACCCTGTTGACCAATAAACTAGATAAATTAGTTAGTCAATTCGATTGAAGAACACAATAGGAATGTTAGATAGCCCACAATCCTAGATCGTTTTTATCACATTGATAATATAAAAATCTGCTCTTCCTTTGTTTAAAGTTCATTAGTTATTTTTTTCCGTTTAATTACTTTAACATCACTACCTTTGGGTTTAATTCTTGTTTAGATAATTAGGATAGTCTAATTTAGTTAATAGTTAATCACAAGTCCTCGCGGGTTCGACATCCGACTTTTAATCACTTTATTACTTGACGACCGCGTATACTTGCGTGTGCGTTTGGTCGGAACACACAACCCACAACAAGCTCAAGTCTAAGTCAAATGATAAACTAATATATACTCAGCCTTCTTTCTAATTTATGTGGTGTCGTTTTACTGTACATAGAGTTTAAAACAAACAAAACTTTTGGAGTTAGTGATTTTAAACATTCCATTATATGGATATAGTTATAAATAAAAGTAAAATGAAAAATATAAAATTAAAAAATTTTACGTATAAAAAGTTAAATTCTTTTTGAAATGGATTAATAAAAAAAATAATGTCACATAAAAAGGAAGGGAGACTCGTAAAGGCGGAGTCAGGATTTCAACTTTATTAGTTCTAGATGTTAATACGACGAATGCTAATAACTGACTTTTAAATTTAATGCATGTACAAATTTAATGAATTTATTAACCCAAATACACAAAGTTGTTAAATAGGTGGTTTAACCAATAAAAAAGTCGAAAAGCAATTTAGGAGTTCAATGGTATGTAGTTTTCTAGGTTATGGCTCTTGTCTTCTGAACAGAATTTTTCTACTATCGTAATTCTTTTCTTTCTTCAATTACACGAATGAAACAAAGAAAATCAATGCACGTGTATGAGTATATACAACTTAAAAGTTACAAACATTTTTTCCTTCTTTATATATAGATACAGTCAAACTTCTTTATAACACTTCTCGTTTGTTTTGAATTTTTGAACTAGACTACTAAGCTTTTAGTTGCAAATGGTGTCACTTTTAATATTTTTATCTTGTATTTCTGTTTTACTTACTATTTTTATATATATAAATAATAAAATAATTCGACGAAGCGATGTCCCGTGACATCGCTTGAATCCATGTAAATTCGCCCCTGTATACAGAGATCTGACTGTAATATGAACATGGAGAAAAAAAAAAGAGGAATAACAAGTTATGGAGATTTCGAAAGAAAGTGAGAAATAAGCTGAAATTTGAGGAGGTGGTAGCAGCCATCATTTGTTTTCAAACTTAAATTTCATCCAAAAAAGAAAAGATTCCCCTTTGGATCCACCGACTTTAAAAGTTATTAATGTTCAACGTCGTTGTATGTGGGATCGAGCCGAGGGTCTATCGGAAATAGCCTCTCTGTCCTATCGGGTAGGGGTAAGGTCTGCGTACACATTACCCTCCCCAGACCTCACCTGGTGGGATTTCACTGGATAGTTATTGTTGTTGTCGTCGTTGTATGTGGGATCGGAGCTTAAAAAGGAAAAATCTAGCACCACATATAATTATCAATATCAGTTGATAACATTGACTGTCAACTTTTTATCATAACTCCTGTCGATATAATGAACAAGGAAACAGAGCTGGACATAATAATATGAGAAAATCATTAAATAGGAGTACGTAAGGCATAAAAGTTGTACTATTTTAATCCTTAATATATACTTCTAACACAAATAACTTTTTTAAAAATAATAGTGTCGTTTGTGTGCCCTCTGACTAATTGCATGGAGTACATGTTATTTCTTATTTGTACCAGATAATTTATCCACTAAAACTTATATAGATGAAAAGAATAACGTAGAGTGTTTGACTCCATTGACTCCATAACATAAACGACTTTAAAATGGGAATGTTTATAATCCGTCACAATTTGACACAAGGAAATTGCAACAATATAATCAAGCTGTCCAAATTTCACACTATATTCGTTCTTCTAATTGTATACTTTCACATTATCTTCGTGGCTCTTCTTTAGCCACTACCAACTTAAATTTTGTCATATTTGTACATGACGTCTGTTAGTTTCTTCTATAAACTTTGTTCTTTTTGAGAAATTTAAGCGAAATTTTGTATAATGGTCAACAAAAGTTTATAGCGTCATACCTCTATAACAACAATCCCTATATAATAGTCATTCAGTATAAAAGTTAAAAAAATTTCAAAATCGATTTTTAAGTTATATTTTACCTCTCTATAATAGCTTTTTACCTATAACAACAACAGTCATATTTATAACAGAATGCTCTTTGTAAAATACCCCTCTATATAATATAAAATCTTTACGATTACTAATAGTAATTCTAAAAATATGCACGCAATCTTTTCATTGAATAAAATTTGTATCTTGCATAAGATTTAAGATTTGTACATGATATCTTTTCCATTGGACAAATTTAAAAAATATTTAGACAAAAGATTTAACTGTTAAGCGCTTAGATTGTTTTCAAGGGAAAGCTATCGGATATCCTTTTGCTGAAAATTTGGACACGCGCCAATTCAAGTTTCAATCGTTATATCGCTAGTAAGAGAATGAAAATCTACGAAACAAGCTACAATTACAAAGTTCATCCACCAATCTTGAAAAAATTTATTTTTTTAGGTAGCTTTAAAATGTGTGCCTTAGAGTTGAAATCTTTATTACGTTTAGTTATGAATTTATTAATAATTAATGAATTAGCTTTCTTCAATATTTAACTAGTAAAATATGCATATTTTTTGAGATTTTAAATTTGAATAGTCTTCTTATCTGTTATATATAACATTAAAAAAGTAAAAATAATTGATTTTTGGATAATCTTTATCTATAACAACCAACAAATATTTAAACGTCAAATACTGTTATAGGTGTATATATCGGTCATTCACTATAAAAATAAAAAAATCGGAACAAACGAGGGTGTTATAGAGAAGGTCGACTATATAGCCGACTCTACTTACTTAAAACTGGTGTTTGGCAATGGAGAAGTTAGCTTGAACAAAGTGAGTTCAACTGAATGTCCTTCTTTAAAATAATATACTGCATAAATAGGGAAAAATAATTTTTTGTATATAAAATTTTGAACTTCGTTTAATCAAGAAAATATACATGAAATTTCAATTTTTTAAAGCAAGTTACATCTTAAAGTATAAAATTATATGTAACGATATATTATCACTCCGCAGAAATGGTGTAAATTAATGTGAAATGCTTTAAAATAAAACAAAAAGTCCTGTAAAAAGGGATAGAAGAATACTCTACACCCTTCGCCCACCTAATCGATCACGTAAAGAGAAGGCAAAATCTGATTTGTTGATGTTATTAATTGTTCCACGTCATCTCCTCCTTCGCCCACCTCATCGATCACGTCATCTATCATACACTCAAAATCCTATATATAGGGATCGTAACATTTTCACTTTGCTATCATAATCTTCTACTATTAATTCTATCAATCTACTATTACAACATAAATTTTCTTGTACACAGAAATATATAATACTTTAAAATGGCAAAATCATACGAGAATGAGCACCCAATTAAGGCATTTGGATGGGCAGCTAGAGACACATCTGGTGTTCTTTCTCCTTTCAATTTTTCAAGAAGGTGTGCAATTTTAGATTCTTGTCTAAAAAAACTTCCTTATGATTTTTTTTTTTTTTTTTTTGTAATTTTGATGATAGTTGCTGAATGTGGGAGTTTTTGTATTAAATGGGAACAGGTTGACTGGTGAAAAAGATGTGCAATTTAAAGTTATGTATTGTGGAATTTGTCACTCTGATCTTCATCAACTCAAGAATGAATGGGGTAACAGCAAGTATCCCATTGTACCTGGGTAAGATTTTATTTTTCCTTCTTTTTTTTTTGGGTCAAATGACATGTAAAAAGGACAGCGTGGTGCACTAACCTCCCGCTATGTGTGGGGTCCGGGTCTGGGAAAGAACCGGATCACAAAAATCTGATACGCAGCTTTACCTTACATTTCTGCAAGAGGCTATTTCAAATGACATGTAAATTCTATAATTCTACATGAAATTTTGGCCGAGGGTCTTACGGAAACAGCCTCTCCACCCCTCGGGTAGGGGTAAAGTGTGCGTACACACTACCCTCCCGGCCCCATTAGTGGGATTTCACTGGGTCGTTGTTGTTGTTGTTGCTACATGAAATTCTGATTTATGAACGGTTTGAAGTATTAGGTTACAATTTAGCAGAACATGTGTAGAATCTATATAATAATAAGTGTCACTAATTTCAAATATTATTACAGGCATGAGGTTGTTGGTGTTGTAACTGAGGTTGGTAGCAAGGTGCAGAAATTTAAGGTTGGAGACAAAGTAGGTGTTGGATGCATGGTAGGATCATGTCGCAAATGCGAAAATTGTGACAATGATCTCGAGAATTACTGTCCTCGTCAAATCCCTACTTATAACGGCTATAACACAGACGGGACCCTTACATTCGGAGGTTACTCCGATATCATGGTTTCTGATGAGCATTTTGTAGTTCATTGGCCTGAGAATTTGCCAATGGAAACTGCTCCTCTGTTATGTGCTGGGATCACAACTTATAGTCCATTGAAATATTTTGGACTTGATAAGCCTGGAATGCACATTGGTGTTGTTGGTCTTGGTGGTCTTGGTCATATGGCTGTGAAATTCGCTAAGGCTTTTGGAACTAAGGTAACTGTGATCAGTACATCTGTTAGTAAGAAGCAAGAAGCAATTGAACGTTTGGGTGCAGACGCTTTCTTGATTAGCCGCGATACTGAGCAGATGCAGGTGAATATAACTTGGACATTCCTAATTTGAATGATAGTGTTAAGAGTTTATATTTCGTGCATTCAAAACGTGTAAAGAATTTATACTATCATGTCAAAAATTTTACACTATGGTAACTCGGAAAATAGATAGTGTAAAAAATCTTTTCTAATTGTTAGTGTATATAACTTAAACTCTATTGCAGAATAAAGGAGGCTAACCTTTCGTGTATTCATTTAATATGAACAGGCTGCAATGAGCACATTGGATGGGATAATTGACACTGTTTCTGCAGTTCACCCTATTCTTCCATTGCTTAGCTTATTGAAATCTCATGGTAAGCTTGTTATGGTTGGTGCACCAGAAAAACCAGTGGAGTTGCCAGTGTTTCCTCTACTTTTGGGTAAGCATATAACTTCACTAGTTCTGTCCATATATAGCTTTTTTATGCGCTAAAAGGCAGCCCGGTGCACGAAACATGCCCCGTTTATGCAGGGTCCGGGGAAGGGTCGCAGCCCAAGAGGGTGCGATGTAGGCAGCCTACCCTGATATAAGTATCAGTGGCTGATTTCATGGCTTGACAATATTGTTTTGAATTAAAATGAGACTAAAGTATATATAATGTGGAAAACAGGAAGGAAGCTAGTGGCTGGAAGTTGCATAGGAGGGATGAAAGAGACTCAAGAGATGGTTGATTTCGCGGCAAAGCATAATATTACACCAGATGTCGAAGTTGTGCCCATGGAGTATGTGAATACAGCTTTGGATCGTCTTCTGAAATCGGATGTGAAGTATCGTTTTGTGCTTGACATTGGAAACACATTGAAAGCAGCTAACTGAGAGTTGAGTCACAAAAAGTTGATCCTGAAAAAGTGATGTCTGTTATTAGGACTCTTTAAATTTCAGTCGATTGCCAGTTCTCTGCTAGTTTTGCGACTGAAACGTAGTTATTGTTGTACTGTCCATTTTGTACTATTGCTTTGAGAAAAAGAGTAGTAGCCTTGTTTTTTGTATGGAGAAAAAAAAAATGTCTTGTTCTATATTCTAATGATACAGATTTTCTATTAGCTATACCTCCTTATAGTTCAAATTTTGATGGATTAAATAGAAGCTAGTTGCAGACGTGTGATAGTTTTAATAATGACATATAAGTCTAAGACAGTTCCATTTCTTGCCAACTGTATTCCCCCAGTTAAGTGAGCCATCTCGAAGTACAGCGTGATTTCTTTATAACAGTATTCATATATAACAGTCATTTATTATAAAAGTCAAATTTTTCTCTAAAATGACATTTTATGTTATATTTTACTACCTTTTTATAACAGTTTTTTTCCTATAAAAGCAACATTTATCTTCATCGCAGTACGCCCTTTGTAAAATTACCCTTCTATAACAGCTATGTAGACTAATAAGAATCAAGAGCTTAACAGTTAAATCTTCTATTTCAGCTTGTTATTTTTTGGAGATATTTCCTTGTCATTTTGAGCAGCTTAAATAAATTTATATCAGTATGAGAATATTTTTTTACTTTCATAATTTAAGTTTATTAGATATTGGGTTTTGGTGTTGGGTCGCCCTATGTGGGCTGACCCAACTCATATAGAAAAAATAAGGTAAAAATTGCACGGGGCGCCTTATTTGGTCGGCCCCATTTAACCTATACCCATTTTTTTTAAAAGTTTTAACTTGTACCCACTTTTTAAACAACTTCAGCCCCCTTTCTCCTCCTCCTTCTCCTCCTTCGTTTTCTTCTTCTTCTTTCTTCTGCTGCTGTTGGTGCTGCTATGAAACATCAGTTCATGGGATGATTGCCATAAATATGTTTATCAGATTATTTAAAAATAAATTATAAATAATTACGTAGTCAGTAGACAATAATTTGTGAATATTTCCACGTACGTAAGTTAGTAGACAATGATAATTCTGTTCTTTTCACGTTTATTATTTCCAAAATTTATGATTTAGATACTGTTGGCAATCTGATTATTTATCTAGTATGTTAGAAAGCTTTTTCAAAAACTTCAGCTTATATAGTGCTGAGGTTTTTACAAATGAACTAAATAACTTCAGCATCTTCTGCTGAAGTTTTTGAAAAAGCTTTATGACAAAACTAATTAATCCAGGACAAAAAAACTTCAGCTTTTAGTGCTGAAGTTTTTACAAATGAACTAAATAACTTCAGCATCTTCTGCTGAAGTTTTTCAAAAATCTTATCCAGGATAAAAAAACTTCAGCTTATTTAGTGCTGAAGCTTTTATAAATGAACTAAATAACTTCAGCATCCTCTACTGATGTTTTTGAAAGCTTAATGACAAAACTAATGAATCCAGGACAAAAAAACTTAAGCTTATTTAGTGCAATTACAAACAAAAACTTCAGCAAATAGAGAACATAACTTCAGCTAATATGCTTAAGTTCAGCAATTACAAACAAAAACTTCAGCAAATAGAGAATAAAACTTCAGCTACTATGCTTAAGTTCAACAATTACAAACAAAAACTTCAGCACACTTGGTTCAGCACACTTGCTACTTCAGGTCCGTCTACTAGAATGCTGAAGTTTTGCGTGATTGCCTTTGCTACTTCAGCCATATATGCTGAAGTTACGCGAAAAAGCGGATACGCTTGCAATTTTCTTGCAAAGCAAGCATAAGTTAAAACGTGACCTAAAAAGCAGGGGTGTAGATGTAAATGCCCCAAATATAGGGGGAGCTATCTATAAAGAAGTTACTGCACAATAAAAAAGGAGAAAAATATGGAAAAGTGCGGAGTTGATTTTTCATAAGAAAATCGTATCTTTTCTTCTTTAAAAAAAAAAGTTTGCATACGCTTTCTAAACAACTTCGAGATACAGAAAACTTCCTCTTGGATTCTCCTATAAAACACGTAAAACTAGGATATTTAGTTTGTGGATAGAACTCTATTTCCGAAAGCTTTAGAGTATGACTTGAGGTTATTATTTTGGCAGTGAGTTCAATAATTATTCTGTTGCATTATTGACAAGTAGGCCAGTGTTATTCTCTCCCCTCCCCCCCCACCCACATTTAATCTATCGAAATTGTTATAAAAAAAAAAAAAAAGATACTATGCAGATCTGCAATAGGTAGGCCAAGAGAAACTTTGGGAGTAATAAAAACAGTTACTTTTTCGATGAGAAATTTTATTTTGGGCGAGACTCACCCAACAAAAGTTATATGAGGCCACCATCTATATTTGACAAGTGTGATTGTGGGGCTCGTTTTCTGACATTGGTTAAATTTAAATAAATTAAGAAGAAAAAGTAATTTTATTCTTGATGTGGAACCCACTCCCACTCATATATTCAATAAATAGATAGTTAAATAGATATTGCACTAGAGAAATGAGTGGATAGAAAAATGTGAAAGCCATGTCCCTCCTTAGTTACCATAATTTGCTGATCACCACCAAACGTAATATTATAATTTTGTATATACCTGTCTTCTTCTTCTTTTTCATCATCAAAGTTCGTATCTTTTCAAAACCATCTTAACTTACAAAAGCTTTAAAAATGAACCTTTAGAGGTTGTTCATTGATATAAATAGATATAAAATATATTATACATAATTTGTCAATAAAATATTCCTCATTTGATACAGAAATACAAAAGTGTGGTCACTAGCATTGAGTACTTTTGCATCTTGATTCATTTGCTACCATGTTTAACCTGTAAGATCATTATAAAAATATTATTTACTATAAAATTAAAATAAGATTAATATAAATTTTTATCATTAAGAGGATGTTATAATCACTACAAAAAAAATATGTTATCGCGGTAGTTTATTTTATGTTTAGCGGCGGTTTCAAACCTCCACAATATGCTCTAACGGCGTTTTTAAGTCAAATTTGAATTGACTTAAAGGCTTGTCAATTCAACTTAGAGCAGTTTATGACTTGTTTTAGTGTTTGATAAACTTAAAAGTAATTTTAAGTCAAGTGCTTTTAAGTGTTAAAATTGCTTTTAAGTTAAAATAACTCAAAACAAACTAAAATTTATAATTTGTGCATCTTAACTTATTGCTTTTTGGATTAAAAACGCTTGAGTTTTGTCCAATTAATTTAATTTTTTACTGTTATAAACCTGAAGGCTAAAGACAGTCATTTCTATTGATTTGATTATAGAGAAAATCGAAATTGGTATACACTATTGCTTCTCCATTTGTTTATTTTTTCATTTTTGGGTTTTTCTTAATAAGTTTTAGTTTTTAATTTTCGTAATTCGGATTTTCATGCATATTTCCCTTAAGGCCATGTGCCTGAATAAATTATACTACGATTGTGCAGTTTTCTAATAAAATTTATTTTATTTAAAAATAATATTTTGGACAAACTAACATAATTACTGTTTAAAGAGATAATTATAACTGAGCTAGTATATGTGAGGTTATCAAAACGTGTTTTGCAACTTGAAGTTGACGGCGTGCTAGAACTTGGATGTATACTTGGAAATCAACAGTTATTTTCTTAATTATATCAAAATTTTGCTCCTTATGCATTTTAATTACAAAGTAACGTCAAATTATTATTACTAAAGGTTATTTAAATAACTAATAATTCAGAACGGTTTTTAGATTAATACCCATGAGGAAACGGTGTTTAAGAACAAATTTTGTTTTGGGAGTTATTTCAAGTGGGAAACCCGAAAAGCTCTTATTTTTAAGTGTTCAGATTCTTTAATTCAATTCAGATGGAGATTGTGGCTTTTACGTGGGACAACAATTCAATTTACTTTTATTTCTATTTACTCCATATCTAATCCTTTAGGTGGCCCACATTCCATCAATTCACCTTATTTATAAGTCAATGTCAGTAAATGGGCCCACAATCACACTTGTCAAATATAGAGGGTGGCCTCTACAACTTTTGTTGGGTGAGTCTCACCCAAAATAAAATTTCTCCTTTTTCGACAATTAAAAAAAAAAGATTTGCATCAAACCGACATAAGTTTGACTGGTTGTATTATAAATATAGAACCGTTTCTTTCCCGAAATTTAAAACAAAAACCAAGAACCTCTTTTCCAGAACCCAAAACAAGAACCTCTGTATAGAGGAAAAGATGACTCGCTTTCTCGCTACAGTGACAACAGTCATCCTTGAGATGACTTGCTATCTCTTAGTCTTTGCTACCGTGACAAGAGTCGTTCTTGAAATAAATTTATCTTCTAGAATAATAAATATTATAGTTGGCACCAAATTCTTTTATCCCCAAATAACTGTTTTATTAAGGAGGACATGTCAATTCTGGATTACATTGTAACGGGTAGGCAAGTAAAATCAAGAAGAATGTTGTAACAACTCAGCACGGCACACCACAAGGTCCTAGGCACAGCAACAGAGAGAAAGGCCCACCTAAATACCTCGACCACTATGTGGTCCCAGATCCCAAGAGAATCAATCTCTGCCAAACCGTTAGAGAAGATTACAAGGGACAACCCTGCACTGAATAATATATATAGGAGAGGAGTCAGCTCAAAAAGGGCATGGTTAAAGTTGCTTATTTTCTTGTTTCATAGAATTATAGATCTGGAACCTCCCCTTTCTTAATTTTCCCTTTCTTTTTGCCTTTAGAATTTCCAGAAAGTAGAGGAACAGACCCCTCTTTTGTGGTCTGTAAATCCCTTCAACTTTAATATAGTTTCCATCGTTACATTTGGTGCTTTCATTGAACCTTCCTCTCTAAATGGGTGACGGAGCTCACAATACCAGGTTGAAATCCCTTGATGAAGCTGTCAAGCAGCTCCAAGCTGATTCTGCCTCACACACTAAGAGTATGGAGTCGATGCAGACTGTCCTTCATGACATTATTTCTCAACTAGCATCTCTCCGCCCACCACCGCCGGTACCACCACTGACCACCATCAACCCTACAGCATCAAATCCAAGTTCTTCCTCTACTCCTCCACCCCACGCTTCTTACCAACCACAATACTCTTCACCATCCCCTGTTCCCACCTTCTCCCAACAACCATATTCTGCATCTTTCCCAACCTCCACTCTTCCCCAACAACCACAACACCAAATCTTCCCACTCGCCCACCAACAATTTTTGCCT